GGCGGCCCGTGAGCGCGGCGAGGCGGCGGCCGCGGCGGCGGCGGCGGCGGCGGCGCCGCCGGCCGAGAGCTTCCCGCTGGACTTCACCGCCGTGGAGGGCAACATGGACAGCTTCATGGCGCAGGTCAAGAGCCTGGCGCAGTCGCTGTACCCCTGCTCGGCTCAGGCGCTGCCGCACGACCTGCGCCTGCACCTCCTGCACAACGCCTCGGTCACCTGCAACGACGGCAGCCCGGCCGGGTGAGTCCCCGCGCCGCGCCGCCCCCGCCGCCGTCCCGCGGCGCCCCGCAGCCCCCGGCCCGGAGAGCGCTCCCCGCCGCCCGGCCCCGGCGCGGCCCCGAGGGCTGTGGCGCCACCTCGCGGCCGCGCTCGGCCCGGCAGCGACAGGTGCAGCGCCTCCCGGGCGGCCGCGCCCGCAGCGTCTTGGCGCGCCCCGCGCCGCGGCTCCGCTCCCGCCGCCTCTCCGAGGCGCTGAGCAAATATTTTGCGTAGCGCCGACGCTCCGGCGGGGCGGGCATCAAAGCGCTGCGGTCGGGCGCAGCTCCCGCTAAGGCCGCGCCGCCTCCTGTTTGTTTGTCCGCAGCTACTACCTCAAAGAGTCGAAGGGCAGTCGGCGGTGGCTGCTGTTCCTGGAAGGTGAGCCTCCGGCGCCGCCTCGCCCGGGCGCGGCTCGGGGCGGCCCCGCGCTGGCCGCCTGCCCTCGGCTCCGGGCAGCCCGCGCCTGCGCGCGGGGGCGGCGCGGCGTGACCCGCGGTGCCCCGCAGGGGGCTGGTACTGCTTCAACAGGGAGAACTGCGACACGCGCTACGACACCATGCGGAGGCTGATGAGCTCCAAGGAGTGGCCCGCGACCAGAGTGGGTGAGCGTCGCCCGGCGCCGGGCTGCTCGTGCCCGCGGGAGGCACCGCCCGGAGGCGCGGACGGGCACGTGGGGGAGCGGCGTTACGGCTGTGGGCAGCGCTGCTCACGGAACTCCGACCGGTGTCCCCCTCTTTAGTGTAAACGCATCCCAGAGCCGACGGGATCTTCTAAAGCTTGGTTTGGTCATTTGTTCTGAAGCGCGTCCGTGCTTCTCTCAATACACCCCTTCCCCGCTCGCTCGCAGCGCCCACCGCAGTGCTGTGTGCGTCGGTGCACATAAAAGCATCTTTGGCTTTTTTAATGTCACACATAAGCTGAATTGATACCCGGAGCTGCGGGGCTTCGGGGTTGGCAGAGCACTGCCAGCTTCCCTTCGTTCTTGCTGCACTCAGTCCGTCCTCATCGCATCCCTCGACTGCCCTCGTTTGCAGGTGCATGTGCTGTCACCCACCTGAGAGCATTGGGTGTCTGGGGAAGTGCTTATCTCTGTGCCACGGGGCCTTTTTGTGCTGCAGGAGCTGTATGGATGGAGCTCTGTAGGCAGGCTAACACATCCTGTAGCTCACAGTGTCGCTGAATGTTCCCTCTTTGTGTTCATCTGCAGGAACGGGGATCCTGTCGTCACAGCCGGAGGAGAACCCGCACTGGTGGAACGCCAACATGGTGTAAGGAGAGAGCGCTGGGGGAGATGGGTTCTGCTGTCACAGCACCTCCTGCTTTGGGGTAGCAGGAATGCTGCAGGGCCAGGTTAAGGCTAACAGCCACATGAGGAAATTGCCCATTTCCTCATTAGGTGCCATACGCATCTAACTGCAGTTGTGCCAGCCTGGATTGGAGAACTCCAAGTCCGCTCTGCAAGGAGCTGTGGGATGATGGAGAAGGACTTGGGGTAGTTGAGAGCCTTCTCAAATAGATGAAGTGGCAAATCCCATGGCTGGCTGATGGCGTGTTGTATGTCTGCCAGCTCGAGGGGAACATGGAATCACTTCTTTAGTTCAAAGAGGAGAAATGAGAAAGATCCGTTTATACATGTCTGTGTAGGAGGGGAAAGCAGAGGGATGCGAACGTGCATCCTGCAAGCTGTAGACAAATTGGGAAGGTGAAATCATTCCTGTGTGGCCCCTCAGTGGCTGCACTCAGCGTTACGTGGCTGAGTGTCTTCTCAATGTAGGTGTGACAGAACGGAAGCAGGGTTTCACTGTGCAGGCACCACTGTGTCAATGGGAGCTGAGGGCAACATCACAGCCCTCTGCCCTGCCCCCCTGGCATAGCACTCCAGTTAGATCAACAGAAGACACGTTCTTTGTTGATTTATCTCAGTAAAGCCACCAGTGTTAGGAGGAAATGGGTCTAAGTGTCCCAGGAAGGTGTGGCGGGGGGCTGCGTGGATGAGAAGCCGTTCCCTTCTCCCCTCCCCGGGGTTTAATTTTCTTCAGTCGTGTGACCCCATCCTCACCCCGCAGGAACGCAGCACTCACACAACTCTTTTTCAGATTCATCCCGTATTGCTCAAGTGATGTTTGGAGCGGCGCCTCTTCCAAGTCTGAGAAAAGTGAGTGTTGCTGACAGGCTGTTGCTGCCGCAGACGTTGCACTTTGAAGGCTATGGCCAGATTTCTGTGAAATGCACGAATGGGGAACAGGCTTTTCTCACTGAAGGGCAGGAAAGAATATCGAGCTACTTCCAGATAAAACATCCTGATCTCTTTAGCGCAGTCTGTTTTGACATAGTTCAGAGCCACTGCTTGCGGAGATGTTACTGATGCAGTAGGCAAGGATTAGAGGAACTGAATTCCTTTTGGATGACTCCCCGGCTTCCAGCACACAGCAAATTAAACGGTGCAGCTGAGGAACCATGGTTTGTTGCACGTGACTTTGGCTTTGCTGATGTGAGAGGCAAGTGAACTTAACTTCGAACTTGTCTCGGGGAGATATCTGTCCTTGGAAAGGAGCTGTTGTGTGTCACACTAAGGCTATCTGCAGAATTCTTTGCAAAAAGAATCATTGCTTTGCATACGTGCCCGCTTCGCTGTCCTTTTGATAATGCCAGAACTCAGCATCTGCCTGGAGGAGTCCTCTCCAGATCGAGCTCAATTTCACACGAGTGATGTGTTTCACCTTGTGTGGCTCTCAGTGCTCACTGAGTCAAGATATTACAAGAAGTAACACCTACAGAAGCAGTCTGCTATGCTCTTATTTTCCTTCTCTTAGCTCCCCAATTCCTGAGCGCTGTGTAGGAAGGCCTGCTGGTGTTACCTTGTGTTCTGTTCACTGCTTATTCACTTCTTTCAGAGAAGTTTAACACTGGGGGAACATGCAGGTGGAGGGAACAGGCCAGTGTTTAGATCTGTGATCCTTATTAACGTTCTTTTGCATTTGTGGAGAAGAAGTGAAAGTCTTACCCTGGGCAGGAAACAGCTCTGTTGACACTGAGGTCTCTGTTTCAGATGAATATGCCTTCATGGGAGCGCTGATCATCCAGGAGGTCATCAAGGAGCTCGTGGGAAAAGGTCTTAGCACTGCCAAAGTGCTGCTGCTGGCAGGGAGCAGGTACGTGTCTGCAGGGCTTCCACTTCAGAAGGCTCTTTGGGAGGAGGTCTCGGCAGCAAACCCTCCACCTGTTCTCCACGGGGTTGTCCTGTGGATAAATGAAGTTGTTTAAAGTGTGGCTGCTGTGAGAGGAGCTGTGCCTGCATCGTCACTGCAGCACTAAAATTGCTGTTGCAGTGCTGGAGGAACAGGAGTGCTGCTGAACGTGGATCGTGTGGCAGAGCAGCTGGAGGAGATGGGGTACCAAGGGATCCAGGTGCGCGGCTTAGCAGACTCCGGGTGGTTCCTGGATAACAAGCAGTACCGCAGAACTGACTGCATCGATACCATCACCTGTGCTCCAACAGAAGCCATCAGGAGAGGAATAAGGTACAGCCACGTGCTCTGAAGTGTGCTTTTGTAAAGGTCAGTGCGGGAAGATGTTCTACCTCTTCCTGCATTTCGACACCTGAAGAGTATTTCTTATATAACATCAGTGGTCTCTTCAGGGATTTTATATTTAAAATGCAGACAAATAAAAATAAAAGTGTGCAGTTAGCTGCTCTAAAGTGCATTGACTGTACAGTGTAGCCAAGAAAGAGCTTTGCTTCTAGTGAGTTGGCACTTTAACCAGAACAGAAATAGACCTGCATATGGAAAGATCACTGTTAAGATGTTATTATGACATTCATTCTGTTGTTGCTTTGTCTTCCAGGTATTGGAATGGTATTGTGCCTGAACGCTGTAAGCTGCAGTTTAAAGAGGGAGAAGAATGGAATTGTTTTTTTGGGTATAAGATTTACCCCACTCTTCGATGTAAGTATTGGAGGAGAGAGAGAAAATGGATTCTGGGTTTCTCTCTGCAGATAACTTACAGCAATCTTTGCCTGTTTTTTTCTTCTTCTTTTTGTCTTCCCAGGTCCGGTCTTTGTTGTCCAGTGGCTGTTTGATGAGGCCCAGCTTACTGTAGACAATGTACACCTCACTGGTCAGCCTGTTCAGGAGGGGCAGTGGCTCTACATCCAGAATCTGGGTAGGGAGCTGAGAAACACCTTGAAGGACGTGACGTAAGTCTTTGAGTGAGAAAAAGCGATGTGTGCACTTCTGAGAAAAGCCCTTTATCCAGTATTCTGGTAGCATTTATCTGATCTCTGCAGAAAGTGGTGTCATACATTGATAACTATACTTGGTCTATGCCAAGAATCTTGACTTTTTCATTTCTGAATAAGCACACAGTAATTTCCAGGCTCACAGTTACCAGTTGTCCTTTGTTATCGATAAGAACATGGTGGTGGTGTTGGTTTTGTTTTTTACCAACCTCCACAGTGAGGTCTGAGACCCCTTGCCATTCCACAGCCATCCACCCATGGAGTTGTTTTGGAAAGTATTGATCATAAAGCACTGAGATGGTTCTTCCTCCATTGTCTCATCAACTATTAATGTACTTTAGTTGCTCTGTGCAACAGGAGTCTCTTGTAGTAGATGCAGGATGGAACCCCTTTTCTTCTGGGTACTTTAGAGTCCAGCCAGGTTTTATATGATAGTCACTGCTGTTTCAGAAACCTTTGTCAGGGCACAAAAATTCAAGCCCCTGCCTCGTTGAGAAGATTCTATTCAACAGAAGTTAATTTGTCCTCCCAAGACCTAACCTGTGTTTCTGTTTTCTCCTTTAGTGCTAGCTTTGCTCCTGCCTGTTTGTCTCATGAGATCATTACACGCAAGTGAGTGATTTTACAGCTTCTATAAGAGGTCAACATGAGAACAGTAGGGAAAATAACCGGTTCTGATAGCCTGACCTCCCTGACACGATCTGTATGGTTTGTCTTTTCAGCCATTGGACGGACATCCAGGTGAAGGGGACATCGTTACCCCGCGCCCTGCACTGCTGGGATCGGAGCCTACATGAGAGCAACAAAAATGGGAAGGCCCCTCTGAAAGGTTGCCCAATTCATCTGATTGACAGCTGTCCATGGCCCCACTGCAACCCCTCATGCCCCACTATCAGGGACCAGTTCACAGGGCAGGAGATGAACGTGATCCAGTTCCTCATGCACATGGGTTTTGATGTGCAGAAGATGGCACAGCAACAGGGCCTGGAGCCCAGTAAACTCCTGGGGATGCTCAGCAGTGGTAACTAGGAGGGGATCTTCCCAGGGGCAGAGAGATTAGATCAGGAGGAGACTCGGAGCCCTTCTCCCACACTCTCTAATCTTCCTTACGCTCATGCAGGCTGGTGCACGCTCACCCCCATGCAGGCTGAAACCTGCACACCCCCACATGCTCCCACACTCTTGCACACTTTGGATGTGTTAAGAAAAAAAAAAAAAAAAAAAGCAATTTCTTGCTTACACTGTTTGACTGGAACGTGTTACCTCCAAACTCCAGGGCTCGGTCTTGGCCATTCACATCCTCTTCTGTGTTACACAAGGCAATCTGACACAGCGAGTAGAGAAGCCATAAATATAGCACGATGAGAACCCTCCCCAGATCTAGGACTTTCTCCCTTGCCATGAATTTGACATCATAGACTCGTACAAGTGGTGAAAAAAAGCAAGCACTGGATTTCTTTTGTCCAACTAGAAGTGAAGAAATGATTACATGACTTCCTGGAGGCCAGCATCTCATCATGTATTGCAGTGCACAAACCAAGGACACGTGCTAGGGATGGACACTCTTGTAATCAACTTACTTTCGTCTTATTTTATAAAATGACTTTTTTATTACTTTTTTAAAACTAAGCAAGAAATATAAATGATATTGTTTTGTAACATATTTTTTTTAAATAACGAAGAAACCTCTTGCTACTTTGGCAATGTGGACATATTTATTTTAATATGTAAAATGCTATTTATAAGAGCTGACCAGAGAACCATTCATATGTCTTTGTAAAGTTGTATATGCTGCTCATTTGGATGGGATTTCCTTAGGATCACTGTGCCTGGCGGTGGGCTGAGAGTGGTGGTGTCATTTTATAATAATGAGACTCTGGTGTTCCCCTCGCAGTATGCTTTGTCGTTCTCTCTAAAGAAGAGATTGTAGTGTATGAAGATGGAGATTTTCACCCAGCAGCTGCTGTTCGCATCCTTACACGGCATTTTCAGCTTGAGGATTGTGATATGTCAGGTATTCCAGGGCATTGCATTTTAAGATATGTTTTTATAGCAGTTAAGAAATGTTTGATTCAAGCAGGCCTGTCTCAAAAGGCAAAGCGTTTCCAACATAAAAGCACAAGACAAGAAACAACATATTTCCATTTCTCTCATTTGTGAACACACCCTCTTTGAAATGGGATGAGAGCAGGGGAGGGATCAGAAGTGTGGCTGAAGCTGGAGGCAGCACGAGGCCGTTCCTTAGAGCAGAAAGCTTGTGCAAAAGCTTCACTACGGTGTGCTGTGTCAGTGCAGACAAACCTGTGCGCAGAGCACAGCTGCCATCCTTTGTGCAGAGGTTCTTAACGCGTCCTTTGCATTCACTTGTAATGGTTACACGATGCATAAGCAACAGAACTTTAGGGCACTTTCAAGAGTGAGCTTACCAGCTTAAAGGCAGTGCTGTCCGTAGGGTCCCAACCATTCCCTTACTCCTTATGGACTGCAGCAAACACCCAGGCAGCACCGTGCTGGGGAGCAGTCCTGCTGTGCACGATGGGGATTAATACACAGCTCAGATGAAGTGCCAAGGAGAAAATGAATGGTGCTCCCAGCAGAGCTGAAATGCAAGAAAGCTATCAGTTTCCATATTATTTGTGTAGGAATTACTAATATTTTGTATGCTTTGATAACTGATGTAACGTTGTTCTGACTATACTTTTCGTGGCACTAAACTGAGAGGCTTCTTCAGTACAGGGAATGTTTGAAAGCGTGCAGGAAGTGGGAATCCTTTGAGGACCGGAGTTGCTTAGGGTCGATCAGTGCAGAGCTCTGGTACCTGAGCAGCAGCCAGAACTGCTGCCCTGCACTTGTTCTTCTCTTGGGAGCATGGAGGGAAGCTGCTGCATCTGTCAGTTGTTCTCCAAATGGTTGTGCACAGGGTGATGCATTTTGATGGCAAGTGCCCTGCTCTGTGTCCAGCAATGTTTCTGCCAGGAAACGTATAAATGCCACTGTTCAAGTTTGCAATATTTTCCACAGAGCTGGTTGCCTGTATTTCTAAAACATGAATCCAAAGGCTAATTTCTAAAAGGCAAGGAATGTTCACAGGGGTTATATGACATCTATATTTTTTTTTCTTGCAAACAGGAAAAAATTCCCTAGAAGTCAGCAATCTCTAGTTTAGTGTGGCTCTGCAACAATCTTTTGAAAGATATAAAAGAGCAGAAGCCCTCACAAATATTGTTAAGGGGGGAATTTGGCTAATTTATTAGAAAAATTATATGATGTGGTTGCCAGCAGTATCTGGTAACCGGAATCTGTAACCCAGAGGGTGATTTCCAGCTCTATATTTCTTCTTGTACTTGTGCAATAAATATAATTTTCCCAAGCCTTTGTGAAGCTGACACTTCTAAGTTCATCACCAGTGATATTTGCTACATGGAAGCCAACAGCAAGAGGGGTGAGACTGGAAGAATTCCGTACCATGTGTTTGTACACTCAGATCTCATGACTAGATGAGATGCTTTCTATTAGAAACTCATCACTGAAAAATTGTCCCCAATAGGATCATGTGATTGAGCTAAAATTAAAATGCAATTAAGAAATCAAAAGCTGACAGTGGATGGAAGTATGTGCACTGCATGGCTGTAGTTCCAGACTCAGCGTAGCCAGCATGGTACAGCTGCAGCCAAATGCTTCGATGGAAAGGCGTGGGGAGAAAGGGCCTGGAGGAGCTCTGGTTGTGACTTAAGGAGAAAAACGATGAGTGTGAATTCAGCTGTGTTTGCGTGCAACAGAATGTTACTTATGGAGTGATGCTATGATAGCTGTACTTTGAAACACAGCCCCCAACTTACAGTACGTGCCACAGTATGGAGCAGCACTCAGCAATGAACCATGGAATCACGGGATGGTTGGAGCTGGAAGGGACCCTAAAGGCCATCTGGTGCCACCCCAGCACTGAGCAGGGACACCCACAGCTCCATCAGTGCTCACAGCCCATCCCTGACCTCGGCTGTCTGCAGGGATGGGGCACCACCGCCTCCATGGGCAACCCGTGCCACTGCCTCACTGCTTGTAGTGTAAAAACTTCTTCCTTATGTCCAGTCTAAATCTTTTAGTCTGAAACCATTTTCCCTTTCCTATCCCAACAGACCCTGCTAAAGAGTCTGCCCCCATCTTACAGCCCCTTTAGACTCCTATACCGCCTGGAAAAGGCCCTGCTGGAGGAGAAGGATTAACACCACAGAGTTAGGAGGGGCAGGGATCAGTGACAGCGAATCCCCCCTGCAGCCCCTCAGCCCCATCGCTGCATTTCCTGGTTGTTGTGATGTTAATTGTGTCAATTCCACCCCCAGCTCACAGCAGCAGGATGTGGGTGCAAGCAGGGTGCTGCCAGCCTCACACACACAGCACGGCAGGACCAGGGGCAGCCCCACCTGCACAAAGCCAGACCCCCTCCCAGCAGCACACCAAGATCACAAACGGTTCGAAGCAGCAATCCTCTGTTGCCACCTCTGCCCGTTGTGTGGTCTGAGGTTGGGGATGACCCCGGGTGTGGGAGCGTGGCGGTGGCCTGGTGCCAGGCTGAGGCCCGGTGCCACACGTGGGCTGCATGAGGAATCCCTTCTGTGGCGTTTTTTGCATTCCGAAGCCGCGGCAATCATCTTATTTAACTTTTATAGTTGAAATGAAGAGACTTCTCAGCTGTGAAGAAGCCTGGGGAAATGTACACCGTAAACGGCGATGGGGAAAGCTGTGATCCAATCGTGGGGTTTGACCATTTCTATTCCAATCCGTGTTCCAAAGCAGAGCAAAGGGTATCAAAGCCATTTTTTGTCAACAATTGCGTTTGGGTTTGGCGCTCAGAAGGATAAGAATAAGAGGTTCCCACATTAGTAAAACAGGGAAGAGCTTAAGGAGACGGCGAGGATTGGTGTCGAAGCCCTCTCAGCACAGCGGGGCCTTTCACAGCATGCAAATATATCGCTGCTCCAGATCAAAAGGAGCGAAGTGAGTCAGCTTCTATCGCAGGCTCTGGGCTTTTGCAGTATCTGTGCTGCATCCAGGCCTGTTCCCCCCCCAGGGCTGTGCCTGGAGCTCTTGAGCTGCGGGGAGAGCAGCACTGACCGACACACGTCCAGAGGAGCAGAAGGGCAACCCAGAGCCACGACGGAGCTCACGGTGTCAGTGTTAAATAACACTGCTCATGGCAGTTGAGGGGGGCAGGACTCGTTCCAGCACTATTAATACAGCCCCTATTTATACGCCTGGGTTCCTGCAAGCGCCACAGCAGAGCTACAGCTGCAGAGCTAAAATGGAATAAATGTCAGCCCCTGGGGAGAACGTGATCCTTTCAGCCATCATGAGGGAAAGCAGGCAGCGAAAGGACAGAATAAGGGACAGTATTCAGAGCCGGGAACTGATCACAGCACCCTGAGAGCGCAGCCGGTGGGCAGAGCCAGCAGCAACCTCCCTGCAGCAGCATTCCGTGCCAGAGACGCACGCTCAGCGTCAGCACAGCACCTACGGATACCGGCAGAGGGAGGCAGGAATTGGAGCTGCTGTCCGCTGATCCGGTGCCAGGTGTGACTCAGGACAAAGGGCAAAAACCTGAAAGGAAGTTTGGGGTTTTGTTTTTTAAGTGCATCGTCTGCAGGACTGGAAAGATGATGGAGAGCACAGGAGGGCCGTATCTGAACACCGCGGCTGTGACATCTCCAGTGGGAATAGTTCGTTTGCTGCAGATGATGTTTGGATGCACCACATTCAGCCTGGTGGCCCACCAGGGGGGATTCAGTGCAGCATACGGCACTTTCTGCATGTTTGTCTGGACCTTCTGCTTTGCCGTCACCGTCTTTATCATCACCTGCGAGTTCACGCACCTGCACAGCTGTCTGAGCATCTCCTGGGGAAACTTCACAGCTGCGTTCGCCATGCTCGCCACCCTCATGTCGGTCACAGCGGCGGTGATTTACCCGCTCTACTTCGTGCAGCTCAGCTGCTACCCCATCACCTGCGAGGTGAGAGACTTCCGCATAGCAGCCAGCGTCTTCGCCGGCCTCGTGTTCGTTGTGTACGGCGCGGAGGTGTTCTTGACCAGGGCCAAACCAGGACAGGTCACCAGCTACATGGCCACCGTCTCCGGGCTCCTGAAGATCGTCCAAGCCTTTGTGGCCTGCATCATCTTTGGGGCGCTGGTGAACGACAGCCAGTATAGCAAATACGTGGCCACGCAGTGGTGCGTGGCCGTCTACAGCTTCTGCTTTATGGTCACGGTGGTGGTGGTCGCCTTCAGCGTCACAGGTAAGACCGCCCAGCTGTGCTTCCCCTTCGAGCGCTCTGTGGTTGTCTACACTTTTGGGGCCGTCCTGCTGTACGTGAGCGCGGCCGTCATCTGGCCGGTGTTCTGCTTTGACAGCAAGTACGGCTCCCCGCAGCGCCCCAGCGCCTGCGCTAAGGGCAGGTGCCCCTGGGACAGCCAGCTGGTGGTGGCCATCTTCACCTACGTCAACCTGCTGCTCTACGTGGTAGACCTGGCGTACTCCCAGCGCATCCGCTTCGTATCCCACATCTGAGGCCCAGCTCTGCCCCGGCTCCGGCAGCAGCAGCGGGAGATGGGACGCAGTGAGGACAGGCACCGACTGGGCCAGGAAGCAGAACTCATCGCCAAGGCTGAGTGGGCCCACAGTCACAGCCCGCAGTGGGTCAGCTGCCCGCCCCCATCAGTCGGCATTTGCTTCAGCCACCTGGTGCCAGAGTGAAGAAATTCTGCAGTCTGAAGTATGCAAAATGGCCTCTCGTCTCCAGAAGGCAAAAAATGCTTGCTGCAATAGTGGGTCTGTAAGCTGCTGGAATGCTGAGCCAAATATTAGGAAAGACACCAAAGATTTTGAAACTGTTACCAACACTTAACTATAATCAAGTGACTACCCAGGAAGTGGGAAAGTTAAAAGCTGCATCAAGGAACAGCAGTTCCAGAGACGAAAAACAATGTTGGAGTTTGGGTTAGTCTGGGCTGTGTGGTGAGACATGAAATACTTGCAAATGTGGGAAATTCCAGTCAGGATGTTTCTGAGAAGAACATCATAGCTGTGATATTATTTTGATGATTTCCTTTCCCTCTGCTCCCCTGTTTAGCACAGAAAAAGAATATCCCAAGCACGCACCTCGAGGGGGAGCACAGGGTTTTCTATTTAGCAAACACCAAGTCTGTACAGGAATGAACATTTGTGAAACTGGAGTTCTATTGCCAAGAAATGGTGCAGAATAGCCCCAAATTGCAAAGCAACCGCAACCAGACGTTCTTGCTTGGACAGGACCAGAGGGAACCTCAGCACCTGCGCTGCTCATATGTCACTGCTTCTTTGTACTGATATCAGGATGATTTTCCTGGAAGTTTAAAGCTAAGTTTTGGGGGTGGAGGTGGGGATGAAGGGTATGCGAAGATGAATCGATGTCACAGCCCTGCATAACGACTGAACTTGTAGGGAAAACCCTTGCATGCAATGGTGACAAACGGGGGGTGCTGGCTCAGAGCAGATCAGGTTCTGGGATTCCTGAGCTCTCTGTGTCACACACCAGCTGTGCTCCTCCGACCCATCCCTGACAAAACACCCAAAAAAGTCCCACATAGCATGGCTCAGGTTTCCGGCTTAGCTGAACAACTCCTCACTTGCCATCAGGCAGACACTAAAGCAGCCCGAGTTCTCATGCAGAGCAGATAGATTGGATTAAAATCCAGAAGCAGCCGATGGACAGAAGCGAGATTTATTTTTTAAGCAAATTAAAATAAAGCTGAATGGCAGCCTTGCAGACCACACCTACAGAGGTTTGTGTCCTTTCCCTTTGTGCAGCTTTTATCTCAGCAGCCAGAGCCCTTCTGCTTTCCAGCACAAAGCACGGCTCAGTTCGTGTTGATGCACAAAGCCTGCATGGCACAGGCCGCCAGCACTTCTGGATGACATTCTTTGTAGCAGACTCACTCAGGAAAAAGGAAGGAAATATATTTTCATGATTGCCTTGTGTGGGGTTTGAAGAGCAAAGAAAAAAATGTCCATTGGGAGAGGTTGTGTTGCACAATACTACTACTCTAAGGACCTTCAGCTGGAACCATTAGCCCATGAAACAAGTATTTGTATCTATTGGAAAGGGAACGTGCCATGCAGCCTTCCAAGGGCTCTTTTCTCTTCCACAAGTTCCCATTAAGGCAGGAAATTTGGAAGATGATGGCTGAGCAAGAGGCTGGCCGGCTTATCCAAGGGCAGAGCTTTGTGCTATCCAGTATAGGTATAAAAAGGGACACGAGGGAGCTTTATTTCCTGCAAGTCAAGCAAAATCAAGTGTTGTACCAGTAAGAAATGCTGTTTGGATGAGAAATCCATATTAGAGCAGGCAGTGTTACCAACAGAGCCACTGCATGCCAAAGGATCCCTGAGCCTTTATGGTGCATTCTTTTTAACCCGGTGAACCTGGACAAATTAAGCCGTGTAACACTTGGAAATGTATTTTGTTGTTGATAAGATGGAGTGCAAAAAATCAAACAGGTGACTTGAATAGGTGACGACAAAGGGATTTTGCTTGAAGGAAATATCATCCTTCCTGCAGACTCATTTTGCAATGGGGGGCTGCTGGTGCCCAGCAGATGCCGCCAAATCTCACATAAATCTGCTGGAAGTTCCTCTGCTGCGTAACACCTTTTTTTGTTGTTGTTTTTCCCCTTTTTTCCCCTTTTTTTTTTGCTCGCTTCTCTCGCTGTGCAGGTTTTGCACCGAGCAGTGAGCAGAAACGTGGCATAAATGGCACCCAGTGGCACCACTGGGGGGTGAGGGGGGCATAATGTGAGGTCGAAGGGAAACCATTGGGGCAACGTTTGGTGCCTCAACGATGACGAGGAAATGGGACGTAAGGTGGAAATGATGACAGCACGCAGTGGAGGAGTGGAAAGAGAAGCATTGCCAAGAACAGCCTGTTCAGATTCAGCCCTCTCATCTGTCAGCCAAGGGCTGAGCAAAAATGTTCGCATGGTCAAAATGGCAAAAAAAAAATGAAGATTGTGTGGACAACAATTCGCTCTTTTAGGGGGAAAAAAAAAAATAAATCCTCGTGCTTCGGTGGTTAAAAACCCTCAAACCATTGGAAAGAATGAGATTGCCCAATGCTGGGCACAGAACACCCCGTATCTGCTTAATGTGACTTTAACAACCGGCCCTGTCGTGATCCAGTTAATTAAAAAGCCCTTTATTTCCAGAGCTCGTCCTCCTTAATTAGCAAATGATGACGGAGGAACTCATCACGGAGGCGTCCCGAGATGGCGCTGTGCTGCACCGACACGTACGTGCGTGCGAACAGCCCGGCTGTGTGCTTTGCGCCCGGGTCCCAAAATTACACATCAAAAAACGAGACACGGAACGCAAACAACAACAAAATCCCGCAGGACGGGGAGCGCCGCCCCTCCTCGCCCCGCGCCCACCGCCGCCCCAGCGCAGGGCGGGACCCGAAGCTTCCAGAAGGGACCGCGCTCCGCGCGCGGCTGCGGCGGGACGACAGCGCCCCCTGGCGGCTCGGAGCTGAGAGACAGCGGTCGGCCCCGGGCGGTCCGCGTAGGCGGTGAATGATGCAACACCCGAAGCGAGTTGCACCAATCGCTGGCGAGAGCTCAGCCGGAGACTCCGCCCCTCGCCATTGAGAGGCGGAGAGCCGGTGTGGCCCCGCCCCTCAGTTCGCCGATTGGCTGCGCGCCTCCGCACCGCCCCAATGCGCCGCGTCACCGCCTCTCTGAGCGGAGCGCGGCCACGTGGACGGCGGCGCGGTTGCAGGTGGGCTTTGGTCGCTCCGCACCGCACCGCACCATGAGCGTGGGATTCATCGGGGCCGGGCAGCTCGCCTTCGCCCTGGCCCGGGGCTTCACGGCGGCAGGTGGGTGCGGGGCCGGGGGGCGTGGCGAGGTGCCCGGCGAGATGCCCGGGCTGAGTATTGCTTTGTCCGCAGGGATCCTGGCAGCGCACAAGATCACGGCGAGCTCCCCGGACACCGAGCTGCCCACCGTCAGCGGGCTGCGGGTGAGTGCGGGCGGCTGGGCGCTGCTCTCGATCGGCAGCCCCGAGCCACAGCCGTCGCTTCTCTCTCCCGCTGCAGAAAATGGGTGTGAACTTCACTGTGAGCAACAAGGACACGGTGAAGAGCAGCGACGTCCTCTTTCTGGCCGTGAAGCCCCCCATCATCCCCTTCATCCTGGACGAGGTGGGGCCCGACATCGAGGAGCGTCACATCGTGGTCTCCTGCGCTGCCGGCGTCACCATCAGCTCCATCGAGAAGGTGAGGGCCGGGCGGTGCTGAGCTGTGCAGGGCCATCAGGACAGCAGAGCGCTGGAAGTGGACTCAAGCCTGACCCCAGCACTGCCTGCGGCCCCCAGCACAGCACTGTGCTGTGCCCAGCTGGCTGCTTTGGGCCGCCTTTGCCTCATCAGAATAAGCTGCAGTGCTCCTCATGGAGGCTTTTTTATTACATGAAATGCTATCAGATCACTTTTTCTCTCGGCGTGAGAAGAGGTGGGTCTTCTGTGAATTTCTGCAGACTCTGTGCTCAGTATCTGCAGGAGCTGTTTTGGTGCTGACGGGGCAGCTGTGGAGGATATTGTTCCCCACAGTGGCTCTGCTCAGTGTTCTGTTTGGTGCTGTGACTAAAGATTTCACATTTAAGTTTTGCCTGCTTTGACTTAAAGCGGGGAATTTGGTACACAGGAATCTCTCTGTTCCTCTGCTTGTACTGCTCTTGCCCCTTGGGAGCCCCTTCCTGTTTGAAATGCAAAAAATGCACTAAAGCTCTCTCTTTTTTTTTTTTTTTCCCTTCTTTCTCTCTATCTTCAATAATTTTCTGCCCTAAGAAACTCTCTGCCTTCTGCCCTGCACCAAAAGTGATCAGGTGCATGACCAACACCCCTGTGATTGTCCGAGAAGGTGCCACAGTCTATGCTACTGGGACTCATGCAGATGTGGAGGATGGGAAGCTGTTGGAACAACTTATGGCCAGCGTAGGCTTCTGCACCGAGGTGGAAGAGGACCTGATAGATGCTGTAACAGGGCTCAGTGGCAGTGGCCCTGCGTATGTATGTGCTGCTTTCTCAGTTCATGAAAATGCTGGGGACACTGGTGGGCTTTGCATGCACTGAAAGTCTGCGCACATTCAGTGTGTGTTCTCTTGTTTTTCTCATCACTGACATTCGTGATGGGACATGTAATCCAGGTATCCAGTTTATAACCAGTGTGGGTCAACAACAAAAGTCTATTACCAGTTGGATGAGTCTGAAGTCCATAGCCAGTGTGCAGTATCCACGTCTGTGTTGCAAAATCTGGGCCTGTTGTTAGGATGACCTAGAAGCTGAATTTCTTCCATTCTCCCTACAACTCAGCTGGAGCTGGTGGGAGAGAAGCGTGGCATGGCATCAATGCAGTAAAGGGGCTGACTTTTGTCAAGTCTTTGTAAGTGATAGGACTCACAATGTGATCCTAGAGCTGTGGATTCTGCCTTCTGTAAGAACACTGGTCTCAGAATAGAGACTTTCAGTCACTTTTTTCCTCTGTCTGATCTCAGGCATTCACTGCTCTGGATGCTCTGGCGGATGGAGGTGTGAAAATGGGGCTTCCCCGTAGGCTGGCTGTTCGGCTCGGAGCCCAGGCTTTGCTGGTCAGTATTGCTTCCTCCAAAATGCTCTTGAGACTCTGCCTGCTCTGTGCAGAGCGTTCTGCACATCATAGTTTTAAATGATTTCAGTCCCTTTACTGAATGTATTTAAATATACATTTGATTTGAATGCACACAGGTTCCTGGTGAGGAGACATAGGAAGTGCCTGCAACGATCTGCTGGTGCTGGTGGTGTGATGGGGGTTGGGCCTGGGGAGCCATGTCTCCTGTACAGGCTTTTCCAGCTCTGAAAAGTGTTTTGGCAGCCTGCTAATGGCCGTTGGGCAGGAGACCAGTTTTGCCCTTTGTGACCCTTTAGGTGCTGCTCTAAGCAATGAAGAACAGGAGTATCTGGCAGAGGGTTTCCTCAGTCAGAGTTTTGATAGTTGTTTTCTATTCCTCACCACAGGGTGCTGCCAAAATGCTGTTGGAATCAGAGCAGCACCCAGGTCAGCTGAAGGACAACGTCTGCTCCCCTGGGGGAGCCACCATTCATGCCCTGCACTTCCTGGAGAGCGGAGGCTTTCGCTCACTGCTCATCAATGCTGTGGAGGCTTCTTGTATCCGGACAAGGTGGGCACTGAGAAATCCTTAAGAGCCACCAACACTTGTCTCTTCCTCTATTTCTTACCATCTCTCTCTTCTACCACCCTATGGCAGGCAGCTGCAGCATTTGGCAGACAAGGAGAAGATCTCCCCAGCAGCCATAAAGAAGACTTTGTTGGATAAGGTGAAGCTGGAGTCTCCTTCTCTGTCTGTGGCATCTGCCAGCAAAGTCAGTCTGTTCAACAGTAAGAACCCCAGCAGCAAGAAGGACTGAGCAGACTGCTGTACTGCTGTACTCTGGCTGTGCTGACCATCAGTTTCCTCCATTCCCTTTTTTTTTTTTTTTTTTTGACCAAGGAAAACGTTCACACTGAACGTTGATGTTCTCCATACCTGACTCTTTGTTTGCAGCAGCTGTGGGGCAGCACAGAGCTGCTCACTGTGGGCATGGGTAACACAACCCTCAGAGCTTTGTCATGGGCACCATTTGCAGGAAGCCTTGGATGCTTCCAGAAGTAAGGTAGCATTTATTGTGTCCCGTGTAGAAACGGTTTATGGCAGGGTTTTTGAAAACTTTCCAAATGCTTTTTAGTCTCAAAGGTTTGGGTCAGGTCTGGATCCCTCTTTCCCCATCTTGCATCTGCTTTCAGGGCTCATCTCTTGTTGTTTTTCTTAGCTAGAGCAGGTGCTATCACACAAATGCAGTGCTGTGCACTGAGGCTGGGTTCTAATATGCTTCTCACCAGGGACCAAAGTGCCTCTGCTTCATTTCCCATCCACTTTGACTTTAAAAGAGGGTTAATGTGAGCCCCTCAGCCACGCTCCGTTTCATTCAGGTGCAGCCTTGGCAATCATCCCCAGAACAGCAGCTTTCTGTGGCTTCTTTACAGAGTTCCATCTTCTTCCAGAGTCCCAAACCAAGAAGCAGCACCCAGTGTTCACACTGCCCCAGTAACTGCTACTGGGCTGCAGCGGGAGCTACGGGGGATGGAAGGGGTTTGGGTGGATCTGTGTCACCCTGATCTGCCTTGAGGTACACTGTGGGAGCACTGGTAGAAAGAAGGCACTTAAGAGGAGCTCACTGCATCCTTAGGAACCCGGGGCATCTGTGTGTGTGTGGTGCAAGAAAAGCATTTGGAGATCAACGCAGAGGCTGCCAAAGGCGCTAGCACTGCCTGCGCGGTTTTACGTTAGGCAATAGCAGGGCAAGGCCCTGTAGGTGTGACATGGCTGCTGCTCTTCCTGCTCCTTGAATAAACCGTTCCTCTGACGGACTCGTGTGGCTGTTTTGGGTGGGCGCGGCTCCGTGCCGCCGCGTCCCCGCAGTCCGGCGCTGAGCTCCCGCCCGGCTCAGCTCCGCCGTCCCCTCGGTCTTGAGGCGGTCGGGGGCCGCACCGCGGAGCCGTGCCGGGCGTCGGCCGATGAAAGAGAAGCGCCGGGGCTGAAGCGGTGCGGAACAAAGGCCGAGAGCAGCGGAGCGCCCAGCGCTGCCCGCCGGCCGTACGGCGGGTGTCCGGACCTCGCGGTGCTCCAGCCGCTGCCCAGCGCTCCTCCTTCGGACCGCGCTTTCTCCGCGATGCAGCCCGGCCTCCTCGCCGCCCGGCTACGGCGTTCGCTCCCCGCCCGGCGGCTCGGGTCACACCGCGGCCCGGCCCCGCTCCATCCCCGGCCCCGCCGCCCCTTTAAGTCGCCGCCCCGCCCTCCTCGCCCCGCCGCCTCCGACAGAAGCGCGCGTCCCCCTTAAGGCGCGGGGCGGTTGCGCCGGGCGCTTCATGAATGGAGCCACGTGACCCAAACATCACGTGACGCGTCCGTGAGCGGCGGCGGCTCGCGGCGTCCCGGTCCCTGCAGCGCGGCCTCCCCGCCCCGCCCGGCTCCGGCCCCGCCGGCTCCGTCAGGAGGTGACCGCAGCGAGCGCGGGCGGTGAGGGGCGCGCGGCGGCGGCGGCGGCGCCGGAGGGAGGAGGCGCGGCGCGGGC